CCAATTAGGGATGACAATGCGAAGAGCTGCTGAAAGTGTTGAAGGGTGGCAGGGGGAGAGGGGGGGAGGGGGAAATGTCACAGTCGATTTTTCTACGTAACGCCATCGAGCCGTGGCAGGGCGCTGCCAAAACGGAATTAAAACTCACAATCCCAGGTCGACATTTGGTCAATCTGTGATGCAGCCTCAGGGGGAATTTGTATCGAAGGCAAAGCAACCACCACGGGGCGAGCGGCAGCCTCGGGCGCCAAGTCCATTGCGCCTCTGCCAGGGCTGGTCTCCTGGAGCTCGTTACCGTAATTGGTTTGGATCCGCGATCAGATTAGAAAGTTGCCGATGTTTCCTTTCTCTCTGACCTCAGCACTTCCGGCTATCCGGGAGACAAGCGCGCGTCTGTCAAGGCGTGTTGCCGCCATCGACATCATTACCGGAGGAAGCTGCACACTTGAGTAACCATCCTACCGCAAGAAGACATCCTACCGCAGTTGAATAAAATAAGAAATGAATAAAATCTACTCAAAATCCGAAGGGTGGCCGAAAGAGATTTGAGAATGTGATTTAGGAGGTCTCACTCGTCGTATGCTCGGCTTACTTTCAAATTGGATATTTATGCTGAACAAAAGTGGTCGTCAGCCTTGCGGTGTTCTTGCTCACTCCACTGCAGGTAGTAGTGCCTCGACTAACGACAGCACGAGAGAGCCCTTCTCAGAGGGGATGTTGGTCTCCTCTTCCACACTAGCTCGATATCTTGGAAGAAGTAGAAACTGAACGGAAAAAAATGTCAAGAATAAATGTGTAATGTAATAAAAGTACGTTTCAATCCTTAAATGTCAGATTACAAACACGTTGTCTTAGGCCGATATAATATTTATATATTTATATTTTTTCCAATTTTGTCCCGATTGTGCTGTCGGTGTCATGTCATGAGCCAAATACTCCATTCAGCACTGTCGGAGGGCAGTGCAATCCCCCATGTTAAAGAAGAACGAGATCCATGGAGCGGATTTCACATAACTATTTCTGAGATCCCTTACATTTGTTTCTTATCCAAACTAGGAGGTAGCATTTTCGCATCTTCCCCAGAACAGAGTAATTCGCCTCATGAAAGTTGAATAAATATTTGTAATTCTCAGAGGTTGGAATTTAGGCAAATCATGTGCTCAACCAATGTTTTGGGGTTATAGCTATTTCATGCATTTAAGGTTTTGGCTGCAATCATAAACTCCCAACACACCACAATCTGCTTTAACCACAGGCAACTCATTTAAAGCTGGATCCAGGCCGCGCCATCTTCAGACTACAATTACATTTGATAAATATATTGTCGGCATGATACAATATATATTAATTATATCATTCGGTAACCTTAATAAGGAGCAGCATATGTCCCCATGCATTTACATATATCATATCACTTCGATTATCAAAAGTAAAAGAAAAATCTACATGTTTGTCAACAACTTAATATCGAATAACTCGGTCTCGTTTGTTTTTCAGATTATTTTATTTTAGGCATGCGGTTCAGACGACTTCATGAAGAGGATGACATCCTGTCACACAGTGAATGCGGATCAAAACGCACTGCACGAGCTTCCACTGTGTCGTGCAAGCACAGCATGCACTGATGTTCATTCTCACGATGAGACTTCAATCCCAGAGCACTCGCTGCGAAGCAACGTCTCTCATCGAGCTCAGCGTGTCCGCGTGGCCATTAAAGGGAGATTGGACATGGCAGATTTATCTCACAATTAATTTTAAATGAATCCAAATTAAATTTCACTTATCGCCGCTGAAAAACACGGCCAGACGATGACCAGCTCTGGCTTGCGTCAAGGGGTCCAATTTTCATCTTTTCTTAAAATCGGTGATTAATGGAATGGAATGGAAAGAGTCTGGTCAATAAAGGTAGAAATTTCCTCATGGAATGTTGGCCGGTAAATTTGGTGCTGTTATTAGTGCACGAACACTTTTTATACAAGTTACGACATATTTTGTATGAATACAGCATTCACATGAAACCGCATCTCAAGATGCTGTACAGAAACTCAAGAGCAGAGTTTGTTTTATACAAACAGAGAGGGGAATAAAAAAAACAGTACGTTATTGACCCTTGAATTGAGCGTGGTTTTTTTATTTACTTAATTTAACTTTAATTGAAATTGGCTTTAAAAAAGCACGGGGGAGACAATCGAGTCCGTACGGAGTCAAACTGGGTTTAACTTTTCCCTTTCACCTTCAAGGAACCCATCACAAAGGAATTCCAATCTAAGTCGTAATTAACAGAAGCGAAGTGCAAACTAAAGTTGATGTTTAGCACTGCTTACCGCACTGTGTGTCCTTGGAGAATACTGTTATAAAGCTCATGCTTGATCTTACTCGGGAATGCTGCTAATTTGCAGTGATTTCATTCTCATAAACCAATCACCTTCGTGGCTCTGCCTTTTGTTATGTAATTGAGAGCACACTGGAGAAAATTGTGTTTCAGTATCACCCTGGTGCAGGACACGTGTGCTATTAAGCTTCCAGTTCCATGCAAAAGGGTTGCTGCTGTGATGTAACGCTGAGCACAATGAACTTGCCAAACCAGAGGTCACCGTTTTTTGTCTCTCGTCATGACAACGGAAACAATGGCGCAGGGTTCTTCAATTGTCCCACCCCTCCACTGCTGTCCACTCAGCCAAAAGTACAGGACAGGTACTCCACAAGTAATCTATCGGCAGGTCACAAGTGGTGAACCCAAGTGTGGGAGCTCCTGCCTCTTTCAATACGTTTGGCTAGCGTGGAAGAGAAGACCAACACATCCTCTAGAGCGGTGTTTCTCAATCTTGTTTGGCTCGCGGCTCACTCAGCCGATGCAAATATTTCCGCGGACCACCTAGCCCCCAGCCCTCGTGACAAAACGCTTTCACTTTTCTCTAAATGCCACTAATAAAACATTATTCTCATTACTGAAATAATGTCTTTTTATTGCAGATATAACAGTTTCTTGTTTTCTGGGAGGGTGGATGCATTTAGATGTAAGAGTAGTTTAATCAAGGTAATTTACCTTAATTTTTTTTAATTAAATATCATAAGTTAAATATGAATTAACGTCCGAAACAAACGGTATAAACGTTGCCATTATCTCCGGATCACATCCTCGCGCACCACCTGGAGTAGTGTCGCAAACACTCACCGGTGGTGGTGCGGGGATCTCACTCTGAGAACCGTGGACCTCACTCTGAGATCCGTGGACTTCACTCTGAGAACCGTGGACCTCAATCTGAGAAACGGGGATCTCACTCTGAGAACTGGAGACCTCACTCTGAGATCCGTGGACCTCACTCTGAGATCCGTGGACCTCACTCTGAGAACTGTGGACCTCACTCTGAGAAACGGGGATCTCACTCTGAGAACTGGAGACCTCACTCTGAGATCCGTGGACCTCACCCTGAGAACCGTGGACCTCACGCTCAGATCCGTGGACCTCACTCTGAGAACCGTGGTCCTCATTCTGAGATCCGTGGACCTCACTCTGAGATCCGTGAACCTCACTCTGTGAACCGTGAACCTCAATCTGAGAAGTGGGGATCTCACTTTGAGAACCGGAGACCTCACTCTGAGAACCGTGGACCTCACTCTGAGAACCGTGGACCTCACTCTGAGATCCGTGGTCCTCACTCTGAGAACCGTGGACCTCACTCTGAGATCCATGGTCCTCATTCTGAGATCCGTGGACCTCACTCTGAGATCCGTGGACCTCACTCTGAGAACCGGAGACCTCACTCTGAGATCCGTGGTCCTCATTCTGAGATCCGTGGACCTCACTCTGAGATCGGTGGACCTCACTCTGAGAACTGTGGACCTCACTCTGAGATCCGTGGTCCTCATTCTGAGATCCGTGGACCTCACTCTGAGATCCGTGGACCTCACTCTGAGAACCGTGGACCTCACTCTGAGAACCGTGGTCTTCACTCTGAGAACCGGAAATCTCACTCTGAGAACCGTGGACCTCACTCTGAGAACCGTGGACCTCACTCTGAGATCCGTGGACCTCACCCTGAGATCCGTGGACCTCACTCTGAGAACCGTAGACATCACTCTGAGATCCGTGGACCTCACTCTGAGATCCGTGGTCCTCATTCTGAGATCCGTGGACCTCACTCTGAGATCTGTGAACCTCACTCTGAGAACCGGGGACCTCAATCTGAGAAGTGGGGATCTCACTTTGAGAACCGGAGACCTCACTCTGAGAACCGTGGACCTCACTCTGAGAACCGTGGACCTCACTCTGAGATCCGTGGATCTCACTCTGAGAACTGTGGACCTCAATCTGAGAAGTGGGGATCTCACTCTGAGAACTGGAGACCTCACTCTGAGATCCGTGGATCTCACTCTGAGAACCGGAGACCTCACTCTGAGAACCGTGGACCTCACTCTGAGAACCGTGAACCTCACTCTGAGATCCGTGGTCCTCACTCTGAGATACACCGCTCGAGAGAGGTTCTTTATCGAGTGCACTGTAGTGGAGGTGATTTGCTTCACAGGGGCGGGAGAAAGCATTTACAGGGCTGCACGTCTATTTTTACATTTGAACACTTTTACAAGATAATAAACTTTTTTTTTTCCAAAACCTATCCCTCATCGTTGTACTTTACACACTGTGTTACAGCTGTGCATTCTTTAAGTTACTACAGAACACTGAGCGAGCACACATTCGCTCTAAATGTAGTCATGTCCTCTTTAGCACCAACGTAAAGAGACAAAGTGGCAGTGAAATGTCTTTTTTTCCAGTTAAAGACAAAATAAATAGTGATGTCTTGGTTATGCACCAATATCTCACCATCAGGTAACTAATGGCGAATGCATAAACGCGCCGTGCTCTCTAATAGTTTCTGCACCTTACCTGTGTGGGAGCACATTCCTCCACCTCTCTTCCCCCAACTCAAAATTCACGATAGCGCGAAAAGAAACATGCAGAAGTAGCCGCACAATCTGAGGCTGCGAAATTACATTTTTACCTCGCAACAGAAATGAATCTCGACAGCAACTTGTCGATCACTGCCTCCGATTCCATTTCCCGGGCAAGAGTTCGGAAGCGCTGTGCACAGCATTGCGAAAACAACAACAAGACATTTAGATTACCGCACTTTTTAGCCGTTCTCTTATTAAAATCTTGAAATTAAATACGACTTAAATAAACACACTGAAAATTAAAGAACAGGCGAGGGTTTGCATGCGGCTTATTCCCCTCCCCCAGCATACAGCGTATTTGTTACACGAGTCATGTCCAGTGAACCTCACTCTGAGAACCTTGGACCTCAATCTGAGAAGTGGGGATCTCACTTTGAGAACCGGAGACCTCACTCTGAGAACCGTGGACCTCACTCTGAGAACCGTGGACCTCACTCTGAGATCCGTGGATCTCACTCTGAGATCCGTGGACCTCACTCTGAGAACCGTGGACCTCACTCTGAGAACCGTGGACCTCACTCTGAGAACCGTGGACCTCACTCTGAGAACCGTGGACCTCACTCTGAGATCCGTGGACCTCACTCTGAGATCCGTGGTCCTCACTCTGAGATCCGTGGACCTCACTCTGAGAACCGTGGACCTCACTCTGAGAACCGTGGATCTCACTCTGAGAACCGGAGATCTCGCTCTGAGAATCGTGGACCTCACTCTGAGATCCGGGGACCTCACTCTTAGATCCGTGGACCTTACTCTGAGAACCGTGGACCTCACTCTGAGATCCGTGGACCTCACTCTGAGATCCGTGGATCTCACTCTGAGAACCGTGGACCTCACTCTGAGAACCGTGGACCTCACTCTGAGAACCGGAGATCTCGCTCTGAGAATCGTGGACCTCACTCTGAGATCCGGGGACCTCACTCTTAGATCCGTGGACCTTACTCTGAGAACCGTGGACCTCACTCTGAGATCCGTGGACCTCACTCTGAGATCCGTGGATCTCACTCTGAGAACCGTGGACCTCACTCTGAGAACCGTGGACCTCACTCTGAGAACCGGAGATCTCGCTCTGAGAATCGTGGACCTCACTCTGAGATCCGGGGACCTCACTCTTAGATCCGTGGACCTTACTCTGAGAACCGTGGACCTCACTCTGAGATCTGTGGACCTCACTCTGAGAACCGTGGACCTCATTCTGAGAACCGTGGACCTCACTCTGAAAACCGTGGACCTCACTCTGAGATCCGTGGACCTCACCCTGAGATCCGTGGACCTCACTCTGAGAACCGTGGACCTCACTCTGAGATCCGTGGACCTCACTCTGAGAACCGTGGACCTCACTCTGAGATCCGTGGTCCTCACTCTGAGATCCGTGGACCTCACTCTGAGATCCGTGAACCTCACTCTGAGAACCGGGGACCTCAATCTGAGAAGTGGGGATCTCACTTTGAGAACCGGAGACCTCACTCTGAGAACCGTGGACCTCACTCTGAGAACCGTGGTCCTCACTCTGAGATCCGTGGACCTCAATCTAAGAAGTGGGGATCTCACTCTGAGAACCGGAGACCTCACTCTGAGATCCGTGGATCTCACTCTGAGAACCGGAGACCTCACTCTGAGAACCGTGGACCTCACTCTGAGAACCGTGAACCTCACTCTGAGATCCGTGGTCCTCACTCTGAGATACACCGCTCGAGAGAGGTTCTTTATCGAGTGCACTGTAGTGGAGGTGATTTGCTTCACAGGGGCGGGAGAAAGCATTTACAGGGCTGCACGTCTATTTTTACATTTGAACACTTTTACAAGATAATAACCTTTTTTTTTTCCAAAACCTATCCCTCATTGTTGTACTTTACACACTGTGTTACAGCTGTGCATTCTTTAAGTTACTACAGAGCTCTGAGCGAGCACACATTTGCTCTAAATGTAGTCATTTCCTCTTTAGCACCAACATAAAGAGACAAAGTAGCAGTGAAATGTCTTTTTTTTCGGTTAAAGACAAAATAAATAGTGATGTCTTGGTTATGCACCAATATCTCACCATCAGGTAACTAATGGCGAATGCATAAAAGCGCCGTGCTCTCTAATAGTTTCTGCACCTTCCCTGTGTGGGAGCACATTCCTCCACCTCTCTTCCCCCAACTCAAAATTCACGATAGCGCGAAAAGAAACATGCAGAAGTAGCCGCACAATCTGAGGCTGCGAAATTACATTTTTACCTCCCAACAGAAATGAATCTCGACTGCAACTTGTCGATCACTGCCTCCGATTCCATTTCCCGGGCAAGAGTTCGGAAGCGCTGTGCACAGCATTGCGAAAACAACAACAAGACATTTAGATTACCGCACTTTTTAGCCGTTCTCTTATTAAAATCTTGAAATTAAATACGACTTAAATAAACACACTGAAAATTAAAGAACAGGCGAGGGTTTGCATGCGGCTTATTCCCCTCCCCCAGCATACAGCGTATTTGTTACACGAGTCATGTCCAGCGGATCATTTCTGCTATCTATTCAACCTCATGTAGAATGCATTATTACCACTTCCTTGGGTCAGGAGAATTGTTAAATCACAAAGATTGCGAGAGGTGGCCGAGTGACTCAGAGGTCAAAGCGCTGGGCTGACAACCACCGGGTTGCCGGGTTTGAATGCCTGCAGCAGCAGCAGCAACCTGTGATTATACCACGTTTTCATGTTATAGAGAGATCATAGTCTCAGCCCAAGTCACCAATGACTGCACACAAAATAGCACGAGATTAAACTTGGTTCAGTATTTTCCCTGGTATATTTCAGCTCTGAGAATAATACATATTTGTTTGACTGTCATGGACTGTATGTACGTGTGTTGAACTTCTTTCGCGCAGGACGTCGCCGACCGTGCTAATCAGAGGTGCATTTTGAATATTAACTTTCTAGCAGGGCAGGTGGGAAAGTGGTACCCCCTCGAGTGTGCGGGTCAGGTCACATGGGAACGGATTTCGCTCACGCAGGAGGAGGTTGTGCAGCTCCGCAACAGTTTTAAATGGATTCTTCATCTCATGACGTCATGCAAGTAGCACGACATGAACATGAACACGACGTTAACATGAACACAATGTTAACATGAACACGATGTTAACATGAACACGATGTTAACATGAACACAATATTAACATGAACACAACGTTAACATGAACACAATATTAACATGAACACAATGTTAACATGAACACAATATTAACATGAACACAACGTTAACATGAACACAATGTTAACATGAACACAATGTTAACATGAACACGACGTTAACATGAACACGACGTTAACATGAACACAATGTTAACATGAACACAATGTTAACATGAACACAATATTAACATGAACACAATGTTAACATGAACACAATGTTAACATGAACACAATATTAACATGAACACAATATTAACATGAACACAATGTTAACATGAACACAATGTTAACATGAACACGATAGATTGTTGGTGGTGGAGGTTCGGTGGCTGGTGGGGAGACAAAAGAACACGGTGTGCGTGGAGGTATAATTAGACAAATATAAACTGTAGCTCTTCACGGACTTTTGGGGCAAGTGCTGCTAGCGAGCGCCCATTAAGGCCGGTACGGCACACGGGGGCGTGGGAGGCCAACACTACACGGCTGCCTTTGTCTCCCCACCGCACAAGCTACTCCTTTCGGGCCGAGTGGACCTAGTGAAGGCTCAGGACCGGTTCAGATATTGGCCACTGTTATTGGTCGTGAGTGGGAATTGAACTTGGGTCGCCGGGTTCGGAGCGCAGTCGTTTGATCATGACACAACCGCTGCCAATGTTTACGAGACACATCCACCAACACACACGCGGGCAACGTTGTCCTATTAAGCGAATTCCTCTAAATCTCCACGTGACACTGGTGACACGCGTCGCGTCGAGGTTTCTCGTCAGCTGCTCGGGTGTGATTCGAATTATTTGGAATGCTTCTCGCGATTGTTACAGACGATCTCTCGAGCTTTTCAGCTCATTTGTTTGCCAAACACTTCATCTTGAACATGGCCTCAACACGCAGCCATCCAATGAAAACTGCCATCTAATTATGACTATTTAGTAAATAATGACACCTTTTTAGTATGTACCTCTGTATCAGTAGCGTAGCATCGTCGGCATGGGTTGTAAGGCAAGAAATTAGATGGGACCCTCCCTCCGTGGGCTCCAGTGCCTGCACACTCGATAGCGACGTCACTGCCCTGTATAATTAATTAACATCAAATGTTTTCATCTAAGACAAAAAATATGACATCTTGTATTTCCAGTGGTCATTTATTATTTATACATCTTTTTCAGTAAATTTTCAATGTTTCGTCCTCATTTCATTGGGGTTTGGTTTTACTTTCATTCTATCATTTACCTCCCACCGCTACGGGGGGTGACATGCCCCAACGGTAGCACGTCTGTTGCGACGGGTCGCGGTTCAAATAAGGAAGACCACCCTGGTTAATACTGCGAGTGTATTAACCATAAAGCACGCGCCGTCTGCTTCCCAGTAGACGTTCGAGATCCCACGATGATGTTTAAAAAGAGTCGGCCATCAGGTCCCTACGTCATGGTCCAAATTTCCCAAAGTTGAAAACGTGACTTACGAATTTCTCAATTGGGAAAACAAACAATAATCCCCCACACCCCACCGACTTCGAAAACGAAGCAAGACTCTCCTGCAAAAGAGTCTTGAGGCTCGGTCAAAGTGAGGCTTTCCTGGGTTAGCAAACGTAGGAGTAGAAATAAAAATAAACCGCTGCCTTCTTCCACCACTTCCCACCTCTCCTTTGTTATTGGGCACGGGCCACTTTGCATGCGAGCGCGTGATGTACGATGTGCCGAGAGGGCTTTCCAATAACCCCCGCTAATCGCCCATCAGCACACGTTACCAGCGTCATTCATTCGCTGCTGACGTTTTATTAGGGAAACCAGATTAATCTTACCCCGCCGCTTGTCAGCGGGTCTCGGCAATATTTTCATTCTCTGCCACCTTTTGCAATATCACTTGTCATATTGAAAAGTGTTTAATGGCAGACAGCTGGGGCCTTCACCCCCCCTCCCACACCTCCGTGAAGTTGTAGTTGTTGCATACATTAATAAATAGATGTTGCTTCAATCCCAGAGCAGACGGAGTGCATGGCATGCGATCATTCTCTGTGCCGCAGAGAAAATGTGTAATTTTTTATTAATTCACTTACCAGTTCAAATGCACATCACGCAATGGATCAAATAAATTACCTTCTGACATACGCTTACCATTGCCAACTACCTTTTCACAGTATTATAGTTGTCATATTTATATAATAAATGGTCTGCTGTATATATCATTGTGGTACATGTAAATGGACATCGTGTATTATTCAGCACGCAAATTAATGTTATTACATTTACTGTTATTACGTCCGTCGTGTTTGTCCTTTAGCTTGCATTTGTTTATGGGCGTCGAGGCTGCATTGTGACGTGTGGATGTGGCAGCATTGTCCTGGCCATTCGATAGGCGTTGGTCAAGGCCACCCTGACACCGAGTGGCATTTCTGCGGTATAGCATTTACCTGTGTGCATCTCTGGCGTTAAATATTGTGTTTAGAGACTTGGATCCTGAATCATTAAGAGGTGAAATAAAATAATTAAGCTATTAAACTTAACGAAACTATTTTTTATTTACCATGTAAGGCCCACTTAGCTAATTATCTCTTTTTCAAAAGCGACCTGGCCACAAATGATCATGTGGAAACGTAAAGCAGCCAAATACTCAAAATGTTTGTTGATTCTAAATGTGGAGGGAAAAACTGGAGGAGATGCAAAATCCAAATATACATGGGTCAGGGTGGGGATCGAACCCACGACCTCTTGTATACCAGGCGAGGCAGTTAACATCTCGCCATGGCAGTGCCCTAGGAGCAGTCCTGCAGCTGCTTGCTGATGCCACTGCTGGCGAAAGGACCTCCACTAAAGCGAGCTCTAGATGGCCCGTGTAGAGGGCTCTGTAGCCTGATTCTCCACGCCAGTAAAGATGTCTTGTGAAATGTGGGAGTAAACCCACGCTTTAGTCTGCTACAGGTGACCTGCCGATCGAATAACTCTGGCGAACCCATCGTACTTCTGGATGAACAGAGTTGGGAGGATTTGCAGAATTTGCCCAATTGTTTCAACTGCCATCACGAGAGACCTTTTGATTGCAAGTCCAGCGCACCAACCGTCACACCTTGGCAGCATCCTGCTTAAACGTTCATCATCATCATCACGATCCATGGGCAGATAGCCTGTAGGTACCCACTGCACATGTCCTCATTTGTTTCCACTTTCCTCTGTCTTGTGCCAATATGCTCAAGTCGTGGCCACATCGTTCTGGCACCAATCTCTTGCGATGTCGTCACGTAATTCTCTGCGAGGTCTTCTTCTCTTTCCGGTTACTTCCATTTTTCCAAACAGGTCACGTGTGCTTAAACTTTAGTACCTCTTAAATGTCAATGCCAGACTGTTCCCTGTGCAAGGGTTTTAAGTGTTCGCCTGCTTGAAAACGTACATTTACAACACGATGGCACAGGTCATCGATCATATGTGGGTGTAAAAGTGCTGAATGCCATGTTACCTGCTTTGTTATTTAATTTCCCCTACCTTTGTGTGTTTCAAAGCGTGTTTAGGTATTCATCTGTTCAATCTTGATTTGAAGCTTTTGTGACTGCAGGAATCCATACTCTGGTTCTTTCGGTAAAGACACGTAGGTATAAAATGAAATAAATCACGACGTTTCAATCGCAACACAAGCGGTCGTCCTCAGGCGGAAAAAATATAATCCAGCAGTGGAACTGCTGAACCAGCGAGAGAGCAGCTACAACAAGAGGTTATGTATGTGGCGATGGGCAAGCAGGCGGGGTCTGAGCTGGAAAGGAATTCCATCCGCGGCGACGGAAGCTCATTCATGCTAATCCCCCGCCCGAGTCCCTCTCTCCCTAATCTCCCCATTAACACAACTGTAGTGCTCCCGTCCGTGGATGGAATTCCGGAGAAGTCGGTACGGGGAGCTCATGGCAGTGTGGCACCGGGGCAATGGATGAAGGAAGGTCCGGATACGTGATAGCAGGTGCATTTTATCCAGGGTCCACCATGCATAAGTAGCAGTTGCTTGAGTGGTCAGTGGGTTCCCGCCACATTTTTGGGATAGCGAACTTCATGGCTCTCTTTTCCTCTCTGTACCATCCTACAAATATACATTTATTTCACCCATGACTAATGTATAAAAGATTCTCGCAACATTTTCCATATATGATACATA